TCACACCGTGATGTAAACTTCACTGATTTTATACTTATGTTGTGACATTGCACACAAATACCTAAGGGTCACCGTTTGTGTTGTAATGTCAGGATACACATTTTGTTTGTTGAAGAAACCTCCAGATGCTGCAGACTCCTATGGCTGAGAAGTCCATTAATATGAGACTGAGGTTTTACTTGCACATTCACAGCAGGTATTGATACTAATATTTCACACAATTATATTCAGTTCAAACTAATAAGGCTGTACCTCTCAGAAGTTAAAATAGCAGAATTATAACCTCTGCAAAATACTATAAATCTTCATGTTGTTTACATAAAACAATGAACTTCATCTTCCTGAAGCAATGGACACATATGGAATAAATATTTTCAAAGCTCTTACAAAATAATGCAAATGGATGTGGCCACTTATGCATTTTGAAAAAATGGGATGGAGAAACTTAGCAGCAAACTGTAGTAAAGTCTTCAAAAATCATTCAAAATAATTTAGCCAACAAGTGCAGGACACAGATTTCCAGTCACAAAGTTGCTGAAACAAAGCACAACAAAATATAAAATTTTAAATTGTTCAGTTTTTTAGAGAAGCAGGAGTAATAAATGAGTAAGCAATAGCCAAGCTGATTAAGGATTAAAAGAGCAAAATTCTAGCTAGAAGCATCTATAAGAGAACAAATAAAGACGGCAGTCACACCTGTGTGATTAAAACTTCAAGATTTTGTGTGTGTGACACATCTGACTGAATCAACAGAACACCCTGTTGTCACACATGAAATCAATTTGTCATCATTTAACAAGACAGAACCAGTGGTATCTGAACAAGCCCTGATAACACAAAAATGACAAGCATATGGCGATATCATGATGCAAATATTGAACTTCTATACATGCACCCTTGTCTTCCTTTCTGCTTCTTTTCCACAGCAGCTGTAGAAGCAGAATAGGGATAAGCAGCGAAAAAGGCACGCTTTCTGCCCTGTTCTCTTGTCAGCTCCCATATGGAATGATAGTTTTGGAGGTTGAAGAATTCAGGATGCAAATGTGAATATTCCTGAGACCAGGATCCTGACTTGAGAAATAAGTAGATTTTAAAACTATTGATTCGGGACAGAACATAAAACATACTAACTCTAACTTTGCCCATTTTAAGTCTCCATTTTACATCAGGGAGAAAACATCTTACGAAGCACCCAAATCTTACCAAAAAAAGGGGCAAGACTTGAGGTGTCAGTTTGATATAGAGCCAGTCAAGTGGTTAAGGTACCTAGCTAGAAAGCAGGAGACCATGAGTTCAAGTCTTGCCTTAGCCAGTTTGGGTGGTTTGGGGCCAGTCTCTCAGCCTAACCCACTAGACAGGGTTGTTGTTGTGAGGAAAATAGGATTAGGTGTTGGGTGTGAGGTTTTTTTGAAGGGTATAAATAAAATAAATGTTTCTCTGGAATTCTTTATGCAGGACTTGGGAAGGGGAGAGAATTTCATTCATTCAGAATAACAAGATGGAAGGGATCTTACAGGTCATCTAGTCTAACCCCCGCCCAAGCAGGAGGCCCCATACCATTTCTGACAGATAACATTTAGCAGCCTAGTTCGGATTTCGGCCCGACAACCTCTACAAACCTCTCTCTCCAACCACGAGCCTGGACTACGGGTAGTAAAACCCACCTCCTCCATTGCTACGTAGCATCCTCCTAACCAAGTTCCGAAAGGAAGGAAACTGCGAGCCTCCCTTGCGCGGCAGCGGGCAAAGTTTTGCTTGCGCGGCTGGATTGCAGTTTTCGCTGGGCCCTCAAGAAAATTACAGATTTGGCCGACCTCTTTCTCTCTCTCTCCCCCTTTGGAAGAAAAGAGTAAAGAAGAGGCGCCAAAGATGAAGGCGCCGCTGGGAAGTTCTCTTTTAACACCAGCGGTAGGAAATGTGTACTCCGGCCATCCCCGTGGCAACCGAGGGTGGAGCCAGCTGCTGGGGGAAAAGGGTGGAGATGCCGGCTCCGTTCTCCGCTGCTGAGAGTGTCTGAACCGGGTCTCCTTCCCGTATATTTTCACATTTTTCCTCGTCCTCTTTCTCCTCCGAACCCGGACCCTGGAAATCCAATCCCTGAGCCCGCCAAATGACCTAGATTGGTGGTTGTAATTCAACACCACATTAACCAGTCCCGATATATCTTGACTTTATCCTAAGGACAACGATAAACGTATCAGATGATTTTGTGAGCGTGCGTTTCAATGGGTTTTCCACCGTCCTGCGTTATCTCCTTATCCTACTCCAAGGTTAACTTCAGACCAACAATCAAGTATGCAATACCCCAGTCAAGAAACTGTCAAGGAGCCGTCAATAATTAGCCCAACCGAAGAATCTCTAAGACCGCCCTTACCCATACAGGCAAGACACCAGAATATAAACTGACAAAAAAAGCTCATTCCTTAACAGCACAGATGATGTTACCTAGTTAGGGTAATGAAACGTTTGCAAGAAAACAAGCAGAGAGGACCAAGGACACCTCTTCCCCGCTTACCCTTTTTCAACTCCTAGAAACTTTCTTCAAAATAAATGGGCTCTAGGAACAAACAAAACTTTCTTTGCGTGAGCACACAGTTGCACTAGGGGGCGCTGTCGGATTCAGAGAGAGAGAGAGAGGTGTGGACGACGACCTTTTTCTGACCGCGGGAAAGTTCAGAAGGAATTGCGCTGCGTTCTCCCTCGTCGCGCCTCCTGCGCAAGCTTGGCTCCGAATGGCGGAACGCACGCAATTTGCGCAGAGAAGCTTCCCTGCACCTGCAGCTTTAGACTTTGGAAACCCAAGAAGGAGCGCGATCCCATGCAAGATTGGGATTTGATTCCCGTTTCCCTCCGTTGACTCGTTGCTGCCTTAGAATGATAATGACATAAATGCCATTTGGAGATGGGGGGGAGGGGGGTGAATGATTGGACTTTTTATTGATTAAAAGTGGGTTGTATCAACTGTCATCAGATAAATTTAGTGCCAGGTGCCAAGCTATATAAAAGTGTATTAGCCTGGGGTATTTGGCCGCCTGGCTATGAAGAAAAGGTCAGCAAAGCGGACATTCTAGGTTTCCTTTATTATTTACTAAAATTAAGCCAAAATGAGGAAGGGAAGTTGAGGTGTGGAAACCTTGAACAGTTGTTTGATTAGCTCATCCTAAAGGCACTACTGTTTCCTGTCCTCTCCAAACAGAAGAATCTTGCAAGTAAAACAAACACTTCATTCTCATGCCCTCTTAATGGAAGCAAAAATATTTCTCCCATAATGTGGCTTTGTCTTTATTTCCAATTAAAATTCCATTCTGTTGTCCTGCTTACTCTGAAACTGCCTCTTTACAACGTTTATCAAGTTTCTTTTTGTACTTCAGTTTTGTCAACTATTTAAAAAACCTCTTTAACAGACCTTCGATTTCTTCAGTAAGCTTGCTTTTGACTTCTACGAAAGTTTAAATACTGTTTTAATGTCCCACTAGTGTTTATTATAAACTGCTTAATGTTTGTTAGATTCATAATATAGAAATATTCTTAAACAGAGCTAGTCCTCCCTTTTGCTTTCCAAATAAACTGCATTGCCAATCAGTTGGCTAGGAATACTTACATTGTTGTCCTGGAAAATACTAGGCTGCAGAAAAGTGACATCCTTTGAACAAGATGCTTTTTACATTCATAAGTGTCCAGTATGTCACATTTGTCATGATGCCATCACATAAATTGCACATTATGTGTACAGGTAGTCCTGAACTGACAACCACAATTGAGTTTTAAAATTTCTGTTGTTAAGTGAGGCATTTGTTAAGTGAGTTTTGCCCCATTTTATGACCTTTCTTGCCAACGTTATTAAGTGAATCACTGCAGTTGATAAGTTAGTAACCTGGTTGTTAAGTGAATCTGGCTTCCCCATTAACTTTGCTTATCAAAAGGTCGCAAAAGGTGATCACATAATCTTGGACACAGCAAATCATACATATGAACTAGTTGCCAAGCAACTGAATTTTGATCACATGATCATGAGGATGCTGCAAAGGTCATAACTGTGAAAAATGGTTGTAGGTCACATTTTTCAGTGCCATAGCAACTGAACAGTCACTAAATGAACTGGTGTAAGTCGAGGACTATATATGTAAACCATAAAACCATTATAATACAAGTTATATCACTTGCTACCTTTTCACTCTCATAAGTACATCGGATATAAAGATTATGTCACTGATTTGTACCGGTATTTACCAACTAGATAAGAATTCCAATGTGGTATGTTTAAAGTGTTGAACAAGGCTGGAGTGACCCAAGTTCAAATCTTACCTAGTTCTGGTAGATTCCAGCATTGGAACTTCACTGGATTATCTAAGACCACTCAGTATATCTCAGTCCACACTTCATCACAGGCTCATTGTTGTGGACAAAAGTGTCATACATGTAACACTTATCAACCCCAATTGTGAATATCAACTCCGTTGCTACATGATTCAGTCATAAAGGGAAACATCAAGGGGCCATGCCTGACTTATAACATCTGTTCATCAGTCTATGTGGGTCATTAAATGTGATATCATGTGACTGTGGGATACTGATTGTTGTAAATACATCCCAAACTGTGATCATGAGATGGTGGAAATTGGGCTGCATTGACCAGAACTCTGAGGACCGATTATAAGTCTTCTTTTTCAGCAATATCATATTTAAATATATTTAAGCAGGAGACTTAAAAGACTTAAATGGAGGCTTTTTTCAATATATTTTTATTAGGGAGTCTTATCATTACATTAACATATAAAACAATCAAGATGTGGACATAGAAATGTTAAATTCACTTTACAAAGATAAGGCTCAAGTTTACAGGTACATTTCCCACCCTACCCATGCCAGGAATTCTTGCCCATTTGCATTTCAGAGAAATAATCCCTATTTAATTCTTCCCAGAGTTTGTTTATAAATATTAAACAAATCACAAAATATATGTCAAGTACAGTTCTACAATATAGTCTAAGCACAAACAGAAATACACAATACTGCACCTACGAACTCTTCACATGCCATCTCTGTTACTTCCAGTTCTGCAGACAAGACTCTTCTGGTTTATGTACATATTCTTCAGTCTTTTCTCATTTCTGTGTCTAGAATCTAGAAAAAAGCCCTCACAATTTGATTGATATATCTCTATCCCTTCATGTACATGCACGTGCCATTCACTGTATACATATCCTTATTGCACAGTTTATTCTCTGAGGTAATTAGTTCCTCAAACAATTCAATCTTTCCCAGATCAAATTAACTAATACTAATAAAGGTTTTTAATGATTTTGGAGCAATAGTACATGGACGACTACATTTTAGAATCCAGAATCTATCATTAAAGAGCTTGGTATTTTATAAATACCCAGCAGACCAAGACAAGGGTTTGGATTTATTGCTATTATAATATTTGCAATATCTATATAGTCTACTTTTATAACTATGTATCTCTAAGATTACTGTCATTTTGGTTTTGGAAAACAACAATAGATGCCTCCTGACTGGGTTCTTGATTCAGCTCAAAGTTGCAAAAAGGATTAAATATGCACCAAATAATATTTTTTGCAATGGAGTAATTAAGGAAAGGAAGAGCTCAAAAACAGATTAAAGATAAAATGGTTTCAGTCACAAAACATTTCATATATTTACTATTAATTGAAAACATTGCCCTAAAAAACCTTTTAAATTTACTTTTTAGATGATGTAATACATGCAAGGGAAATTACCCAAGCCTTTCAACTAATCAATTATATAAAAAAAAAGAAATATAGTTTAAAACTTGTGCACTTAGCAATTGTGAGAACTCCAGAATACAAACTTTTTTAAATCAGGAGTTCATAATTTCTTCTACAATGCATACTTCTTTTTAATACAAATTACAAACACAATCTGAGTTTTAATTAAGCACATGGGAATTACATGGGAATTAGTTAGAAAGGTTTATATATTAGAAGGTAGATGAAATATGGATTAGGTTTGTTGCACTATTTTTAATAGGAAATGTAAATAAAAAAATATTTTAAAAGTTTTAAACTGAGTTTAAAATGTACTTTAAGTACTCCATACGTTTACTTGATTATTTAATTTTTTTTTTATTAATTTGTAGTAATAGATAGCAATTCTAAAACTTTAATAGAACAAGAAACAAAAGGCTGTAATCTTATTCTCATTAATCTGGAACTAGGATCTAAACATATTTCAAAGGAAACAAGTATAGGACTCAGGGTAAACATCCTATTACTGGTGTAGTTAGGAAAGGGAAACAGTGAATTTTGTTTTATGAAATCCAGATTGGCTATTCGGTTTAGTTCTTCTGCTTCTACTTCCTTACATTTGAAAATTGGGCATGTGGAAATGTTGGTCTTCTCTAAATACACAAGATTTTAGTCACATCCTCTAAAAAGAGTTTGGAGTTACACAGGCACAAAATCTCCATCAAGACAACAAAGATAACAACACGCCACTGTCAAAAGAACACTTTTTATAAATAAATCATGTGCATCCATTGTTTACATCTGGTAAGAAAGCATGCTTAAAAATAATGCATGGAATTGTAACTCCGAGATTTATCATAATGAAAAATAATGAATATAATCAGAAACTAACTTTTTTCAGGTGTCTGAAATTCACAGAAGTTTTTCACAGAAACTTCCTCTATCTTTGGAAACAGGTTAATTTTTTAAATTGTTATGTATTTTAGTAAGCTTAGCTTTATCTTTTTTTAAAAAAAATTACCATTTCTCTGTAACTTACAATCATGTACACTAAAACAAAATCTCTAAATCTCCCGCAAAACTATACTTCCACTACTTTTCAAAGAACTTTCATGAGTGTATCAAAGTAAAATGCAAATTGCCATCTTGAGAAAATTATATCCCACTCTTTAGTTTCAGAACAACTTCTGTAATGTGATACTATACATTATACTGATCATGTATCTGCTTCTTAATATTAATGCAGGGATATGAAGAATATCCAGGACAGGTTCAACGGACAGGAAAGAATTCATAATCATTTCTGCATCCACTGATTCTTTTCTGCAAATACCCTTCCAAATATTCTATTCTGATTGTGCATACAGAAAAAAGCAATGTACAAAGAAAGGAGTAAGTATCTTCTCCCTTCATGGAAGTCTCACCTGCAAATCATGGTTAACCTGATTTGTCCTAATGTGTAGTTCCTCTTAAACTTGTTAATTGAAAAATTAGTCTTTCACTGCCATATATCAGACATATCTATCTTGCATTCCAATTATTCATCTTGTGCATATCTTGAAGAATATTAGTGTTTTTTAAAAATGCTAAAATGCTTTAAAAATTCATGATATGTCCTTGTGCATTTATTCATCTGTACATTTAAATATTTTCAGAAATTGCATTTGCTAAAAATTTACCAAAATTTGTAAAGACATAAAAATATTTTTAAATGAAAAAATCAAACAAACAAAATTATAATAAAACCCGAGCAATATAGGCATTGGTTAGTAGATATTGTTTTACTAAGGAATATATTCAAAAGCATCGTCTTCTATTTGTAGTTAATGCTTAAAATTAGGACATCGTAGCTTGATATGATAGAAATGATAGTTTCTCTTCAGTAATTACTGATAAAAACAGGAAAGAAAATAAAAAAGACTGCTTTTTGGTTACTTAAAGGCCACTACTACATCAATTATTCAATTATGAAAAGTAAATGTAAGAATTTTGAAGTTATTGTCTATCAAAATAAAGAACCAATTGAAGATAACCTGCAGGATGTTTATGAGCACCTAAATACTGACCAAAATTCACTAGTTTTGAATATAGCCCTTAGTTTTGCACATTTTTTATGTTTAAGAGCTGCCAAACAAATGGCTAATGAAGTCTACTTTGCAGGCTATCCACTGTCTGAGAGGACAGTAATATTCAATGTGAAACTGCTGAAATTCTGGTGTTTGGCGGATTTCATGGAGGAAGGAGATGTCAAGATCTGATTCCAAAAGGACAAGTAGTAGAGGGAAAACCACAAGCAACACCCCAAGCCCAACAAAAAGAAGTCTGGAAAAACTCTTCACAGCAGAGTGTATCTTCAAGTTACCCATCAAAAAGTCATAGCTCCACCGAAGTGCTTTTCGAGCTTCCTTCAACTCTTCCTCCTCTGCAACCAAAAATGCATTTTCATCCGCCTCCAGTTCCTCAAATGAATCTGTATCTTCTTTCCCATTTTCTACCCTTGGGGAAGTTTGAAAGAGAAGATCTATCTCCTCATCATTAACAGGAGTTGGGAGCAAGCTGGTACTTGGATTGTACATCAATTCTGAAATCGTTAAAGGCTCCTCTTTGATTTTCTCACCCTCCTCAACCGAAAGATCTGAACCATCATCTGTTTCTTTAGTAGGAGAGCTTGATATCACAGGGAGTGAAATATCATCTTCCTTTGGCAGCTGGATTCCTGTAAAATAACACTTTTAGATTCTCAAACTTACATTTCAAGGAGATAAAACTATAGACAAAACAACTGTTTGCAATTTAATCATTAATTGATTTATATTAAGTGAAGGGAAATTCTTCACAGTTCAGCAAGTTAAATATAACTTGATACTATTATTCATTTTACTAAAAAAATCCACTTTTTTTAAAAATAAAAATAAAAATCTGCATTTTGTGCACCTGAAATGAAAATCTTCAGTTATTTCATTCTCATCAGTTCACAGAACTATATTCCATGATTCTGAAACCATGATAAATACTGTATTGCATTATCGGACACATGTATAATGTGTGTTTGCAGAAGGATGCATCATAATCTATTATCTATTAATAGATTATCGATAGCAGTAAATGAGAAAGTACAGCTTGATGAGAAATAGTGGTAATCATGTGATTCTATTTCTCAAGATACAATATTAATCAATATTAGAAGGATGTCATAACTAACAAAATGCATAATAGTATGTAAGACAGTTTGATTAAATGAACTAACTGTTGGAAAAGGTTTTTCATTACTCCTAATATGATTAAATTACAAATTGCATCATTTGTATCATCTTTGCTTTATGATGCTAATATATAAATCATGCAGATAATAGTATAATTTGAATCAATTTGTGTAAACAGCAGTGTGCAAATAGCATAAGTCACAGCAAATGATATTAATTGAATACAAAGTGATTATTCATACACATTTGTATCTAATGATAATCTGTGAAATTGATGTTTTGCTGCCTTAATATTTATGCTTATGCCATTTAGCTTCAAAGTGACCAGACTTTGAAAACTTTAAAGAGGTCTCTGAGTAAATGTGCAATAAAGACTATTTTTTTCTACAGTCTTCTAAAATTATACAACTCCATATAGACTCCAGTTTTATTTAATTACTTTTTTATGTGGGCAAACTGAAATGAGGTTTATTTTTCAATGCAAAGAACAGATAGGAATGAATATAAGCCTAAACTTAGAATTTAAAGATACTGTGCACATGAAACTTTCCTAATTCTATCTCCATAGCAAAAATCTTCTAAAGTAATTTGGGCTAAGAAACAGCAACAGACTCAATGAGTTCAGTGATCAGATGTATTTATTTATTCAAGATATCAGCAATATCCACACCTATGACAATCTGTTTTTAATTTAGTATTTTCCCTTGAATATCAGTTGTAAGACTGTTCACCTTGGATTAGATTTAGCTTGATTTTTGTACATCTATTCAAAATAAACTAAAACTGCATTTAATTCAACCAATTATGGCTTTAAAATCCGCTTTAATTGTTGTAACCCTAGATCATTCTGTTATCTTCCTCATTCATAGTATCAAGCTTCTAAAAGAAATGGTAGGATATTTACTTCAGGGCTGAAACAGGCAATAACCTCCTCTGACACTTGAATCATTAGCAGCACTGTTTGTGGATCCTGCCACACATAATTTGACATTAATTCTCATTTCTTCATGTTAAGATTCATAACACAAAGCGTCACTGGAATTAAAGAGCTTGGAAGAGGGCTTAACACTATTTATTTACTTAGACCTTTTAATTATTTCAAATTTGATTTATTTATTTATTTTTAAAAAATGTTACATGGTTTCAATGAATGTTAAGGTTTGTGTTAATTCTGTTTGTTATTTTAATTGCATTTTTCTAAGCCATTCTGGCTCATATAATAAATACAATCAATCAAAGACAAGACAAGAGAGAAAAACAACAGCCTGGGGAAAAATTGAAGCTTCATATGAAAAGAGGACATTTTCACTATTTGAAGGTGATAGAGAATGATTCACAAAAATGTGTTTCATATAAAATAAAACAAGTGCTACAACAAACCATTTTGCAAATACAATTTACAACACAGGATGAGAAACTGGTAACAATCAAATAGAACAAATAGTAAAGCTGCAGACCTCATACACTTACACCTCCCGTTAAATATTTGCAAGCTCACACAGTATCTGATTTACTGTATGAAATAAATTAACTAGTTTTTACGTAGATTATTCTGATTTAAAGCTGTCAGTTATTTACTGAATCAATACTCCTGATATTGGGGGCATATCTGTCATGGACTATCAGGATAGGAAAATAATCACTACATATCTACCAGCTCTGCTTTGGAAAATGAAAAGTTACTTCAAATACTCTCCTGATAACTTCAACTGAATCTGATCCTAACATAGAGCAAGAAGAAATAGGAAAAGTTCCAGTTTTATAGTCAGTAGAATCTTTTAGAATAGGTTGTATAATTGTAGAATGAATGGAAACATTATATACTAATGGGGGGGAATCTAAAATTATTTGCAGTCACTGCATGTTACCTCTATTAATTAAGAAATAAGAGACGGTATAATGTTGTTTCAATATCTTCAAAAAGTATCTTTTAATTTAATAAGAATGGAGAACTAATAGTTTTAAAATTTCAATCTCAAGTGATATAACCACACATTTTGCTATCTATCCTAAATTCAGATTAAGTAATATTCCTACAGTTTTTAGTAGCTATTTCTAAACTATTAACATTAATTAAGATTAGAAATATGACCCTTATAAAAGCATGAATTATGATTGTGTCAGATCTAGTATTTAGTTTTCAGTTGATCAGTTTTATTCTTTATTACTTCATACTTGAAAAGGTGTGTGAATATGTATTGCATAGAATTTGATAAAATAGAAAATTGGGCAGCTTATTGCCTACTGGAGAAAGCTACGTTTTAAAAGATTATATCAGAATATTCTCTCATGTTACATTCATTGCCACCATACAAAATTGATTTTTTCTTTTACTTTAGCTATGTCACCACAATAATGGTGATGGTGATGATGATAGTGGTGGTAATGATGATGATAAAGACAAAAGATTAAAAGTATAGTGCATACAGAGCACATTAATACAACATAGTACAAAATTAAAATGGAACAAGACCGCTTTTTCAGTATGGACATGATTTTAAAACATAATATAAATTCATTTAAATTGCATTTTCGTCACATACAAATATGGAGGACAAAAGCTCAAAATGCTTTCAAAGGGCTCTTTAATAAAGTTTAGTAAAAATGGTCTCAAAATGGCTGCAGTCCTAAATTTAATTTCTCTGCATGCACATGCTCACAGAAAATTTTGCATACATACATACCCATCACGCTATTCTCTTTTGGGTTAAGCAATGTTTTGAAAAATCCAGAAAAAGAATAAGAGATAGTAAGCAAAATAAATTATATAGAGGAGATAAGAGGAAAATAAAGGAATCTGATTTATATCATTATCATTCATTATACTTCATATTTTTTTTATCCCAGCAAACATACACTACATTTATTTTTTATACTGTAATATCTCACCTCTATATTTTTTAAAGATTTCATCAATTCCATCTATTCAGGGTTTTCCTCTCAACCCAGTCGTCTCTAATATATTTCTTTTGGAATTCAATCGTCATTCATTCTATCTACAGCATAGGTGTCAAACTCGCAATGTCATGTTGCCGTCATGTGGTGTTATCGTGACATTTTCTCCCTTCGTGGAGCTGGGGTGGCACGTGACACATCCAGCCCACAGGCCGCCAATTTGACACCCCTGATGTACAGGACCAAAACTTCTCAAAATATTTCCTTCATATTGGTGATTCACCATTCAGCATGTGTTTATATTTTACCCTATTCTTGTTTTATAATACTTAACACTTAAGTTACTTGTTGCTACTGAATATAATTTACTTTTATATTTCTTTTAACATACTCTCTTATTTACATAGAACAAATTGTACTGTTTTAACTTCTTTTGTCATTTGTTCTGCACAACATATTTTTTACTATTGTTCTTACTTTTTTACTGCCTTAATTCTTTCCCCATCTTTAGTAAACAATCTGCCAAGATACATGTTCATCCATGTATCCTATTGCTCTTTTTTTCTATGCGCAACTTTAATTCACTTAATTTTGTTCACTTAATTTTGTCAAATTCAGCTACTTAGCCTTTGATATATTAAGTTTCAGATCCATTACTTTGGTTCACTAGCTAACATTTACAGCATGTCACCAGCTGCATTAAAATAGCAATAGCACCTAAACTTATACACCACTTTACAATGCTTTACATCCCTCTCTAAGTGGTTTACAGAGTCAGCATATTGCCCCTAACTACAATCTAGGTCCTCATTTTACTGACCTCAGAAGGATGGAAAGCTGAGTCAAACTTGAGCCGGTGAGATTCGAACTGCCAAACTGCTGGCTGCAGTACCACAGTCTAATCACTGCACCACCATGGCTCAAATGCTATTCATGTTTCCATTCAACATATGTCTAATATCACAAACATTTATTATACATTTAAATATAAATGGATTGAATAATCAAAAGAATATTATACATTTTGCCTTATTCATTATTCAATGTTGAACCATTCACTAGTGTTTCATTGATTCTATTTGTTTTACTTCCACCATTTACTGTTCTTATCATATACATCAACCAATATTCAGTTCAATATTTCTGCAAGATATCTCATAATTCTAGGCTGCTGACTTCATCATAAGTTTTTCTCAATCAACAAAATTCTGTAAGCTTTCTCACTATGCGTACATTTTTCAATATTTTGTTAAATTGCATAAATCAATCTTCACATCTTATTCCAGGCATAAAGCCTCACTGCCCTTCACAAACTTTGGGGAGGAGGGGGACTCAGTGTATCAAGGTAGTTTGTAGCATCTCTGTAAACAAGATCATTGAGCATAAGTATTGCTAATAATGTTGAAGCTGAAATCTTACATCACTATGTCACACATATTAATAAGGTAATTCTATGAAAGTAGTGCACTGTGTGCCAGATCTTGATGTGATAAGTCTCACCCACCTTATTTCTGTATTAGTATATTGTAGTGAAATGAATGGGGTGTTACCACAGAGAAGTAGCTCTCAAGTAATTAGGTGTATGCCATAAAACTTGACAATTAAGATTCTAAAAAGAGCAAGTTTCTAAAAGGAAACCAAATAATGTAGTCCTTCAAATGACCCATGAGTATTAGATAATTTTGTGATACTATTCCCTGCAGGTTATATTTAGCCCCTATCAGCTCCTTCATCATCTCGACATAGGAATATTGGGTCCTGGATACATGTCAGAATGTCTTCCCATGTATTCTATTCATCCCCAACACTCAGCTTGGTATCTGAGAATCTATTTCAAATGTTTATATTGGCTGAAATACAGAAATTCTGTAAAAAGAACAGAACCTCTTCAATGTTGGTGAGTGATCTATAGAATACCATTACAACAGAACCAGCACTAAATGCATAAAGACATTGGGAAAGGACTAAGAACTGTTTTTGTGCTATGTTTGTTGTCTGCCTTTATAAGTGGTTGTTACAACGTACTGTCTCTATATTGTATTTTTACATTACTGGTGATTTATTTTTTATTAATTTTAATCTATTACTATAAAATTGATTTATAGTAAAATAGCCTGATTTCCATTAAAAACATGCTTAAAATATTTACAATGTTGATACTTCAGATAGTATTAAAATGATAGTTGTTAATGTAATTTTATTTTATTGAAGTGAAAATATTTTTGTGAAAATACCTTCATTTTTAGCATTAGGAATTCTATTTGCAAAAGACTAATACAGCAGAGGTTCTCAAATTCTGAAGAACCGCAGTGCCTTAAAATGATATTTTATTTAGCACCCTTCCCATGATCGAAATATATTTATTTATTTGTTTGTTTTGTTTCTTTTATTAATCAGATTTAGATGATAATCCATCTCACCAAATGTGACTCTGGGCACCATATAATAATCAAATAAAATGTCACATATTGTATATAAAAACAATCATATAAAGTAAATATGTAAAAATAAATGTTCACAATTAAAATCAAAATATACATATCGCAAGCATGGAGAGAATGAGTATATCCACCTCACTAGTATAGCCATTTGAACATATCCTCATGTTCTGAGGTATCCCCAGGCCTGATGACATAACCAGAACAATTTACAGAACATCAAAAGGAATGGAGCCAACTTAACCTTCAAAGAAGGAGAGTGTTCTACAAGGCTGTGCCACAGTAGAGAAGTGGGGCCTGCCTCCCTGGACCCACCAAATCTAAGTCTCTTGTAGGTGGTAACCATCACATGCCTTTTTGCCAGATCTACTGGGATAGGCTAGTCTGGGAGAGGCAGTTCCTCAGATAACCTGGTCCCATGCAATGAAGGGCATTACATATTAAAACCAGTACCCTGAGTGGATCCAGAAGCAAACTGGCAACCAATGCATCTTGCAGAGCAAAGGTGTGACATGTGATGTTCTAAAAACACATATAACTGCCTGTGCTGCCTAATTCTGAATCAGTTGATAAATGCTTTTACTGGGATTATAGATGAACAAGAAATAAATATACCATTTACTTTTAATAATTAAATTTTCCAGTAATCGGAAACTATGAGGTAGCACAGCCACCCATTTTGTGCTTCCAGAAACAAAATGAGAAGCATAATTCTACCAAGGTTTTGACCACAGTCCCACTTTCCACAACTCTGGTCAGGTTTTTAAAAATATTTGAGATCTTAAATACCCTGTTTGAGAACTGTTGGTGACTCAAGAGGATCCTGAGCCATAGTTTGAGGACCACTGCCAGATGTATTCTCACTTTCCTGAAAGAAAGATGTCCTAGAATTTATTTCAGAAAGCTTCCCTATCAGTAATAAAAATAGGCAATAACATTTCTGAGTATAATCCCTTTGGTCTTCCTCAGCTGAAGTATCACTTTTTTTTTTCAATTTAACATAGTTTTTGTGAGGGTACTTGGGCATAATGATTCCCTAAGGATATCTATAAGTTTTAAGTGTCATGGAATTGTACTATCTATAATTCATAGATTCATACATGCCATGCATCTACTTCAAAGATGATAAAAACTAAATGTACATTTTCCTCAGTGTATTAAGTACTTGGCTAAATGATAACTCAATGTACAATTGAACTCCATCTGTTAGAAGGACATTCCTCACTGAATGCTTTGCTTTTCCTATGTTATCCTAGCCTCAGCTTCCCCAGCTGTTCTTTGTTTGCTCTTTTGAAATCCCAGTGCTATAATTTTCTATTCCCTATGTATTGACCCTTATTAATATACAAAAATATCAGAAGAAAGGGGGGCATCATCTTTTGAAATATTTAAATAAGCTAGGCAAAAATGAACTTACCAGCACTTTTAGCTGTGATCCTTGAGCCATGCCTCAGCAGACGAATGCACACATCTTTACTACAGTGGTTAACCATTCGCAAATGGATACTCCTCCGAGTATGGATTTTTACTAGGCATTTCACCATATTGACTAAAAGATGTATTTTCTATTTCAGCTTTAATGAACTAGCCACCCATACCAGCTGTGACCTTTACCAAGTTTCCACTGTGTCCAGCTTGGAAGAGTCCAGCTGAATGAATCAAATAACAGCTTCTAATTCGGCCAATAGAAATAGCCTACTAGAGCACAGAGTGAGTATCTATTTTTAAACCCTTCCAACTGGCTTATAATACACAAAGTAATTAACATCAAATGCCAACTGTTCCCTTAACAGTTGTTAATTAACAGCTGCACTATATATACTAGTCTAAGCACTTCAACTGTTTACTGCATTGTAATGCAGACTACCAAAGCAGCAGACATAAAAGTTTGTGTGTGTGTGTGTGTGTGTGTGTATGTATATGTATATATGTGTATATATGTATGTATGTATGTGTGTATATATATATATACACACACACACATATATATATATATGAGTCAAACTAAGTCATTATGATTTTTATATGGAGATTTATTTTGTTTTCTAAATTTGAACCTACACTTTTAATTATCTGTAGAGATAATCCTGTTTAATTCAGTCTAATGACTGTAAAAGTTGAAGGTATAAATATTGAACTTGGCAGGATGGGTTCCGGTAGTTTCCAAACCTGAGAGGCATTTTGTCTTAGTTCCAATCCCACTGAGTTTTCATTCATAAAAGCGGGAAGAAGAAACCCAGAGTTTAAATCCTAGAGGACAGATATAGAAAGACTCTGACTTCTTTGCACTGGGGTAAACAATAATCTAATGTAGCCAAATTGTGGCTAGGAATCTTCTCCCAGATGTAAAAAAGACTTTAATTCAGAACCAAATGACTAAGATTTATTGGCAAGTTTGGACATGAAGCCTGGCCCTGATGTTGCTGCTTCTATATCTGCTATTGTAGTAAAACCTTGCACACATCTAGGAGTTACAAAATAGAAACAGAAGTAGTGTTTTTGCTCATGGCAATTGAACTGCACTATTCTAAATACACAGTAGACAGTAATCCTTTGGACCAACAGTTGATCTTCTGGTATTGTCCCCAAGGTTGACTAACTGAAAAGAGTGATTTATGACTAGCTTTCTCACTTATGAGTGCTGTAGTGTCCCCATGGCAATGTGAACACAGTCCAAGCACTTGGCTACCAGATTCCTTTTACAACAGTTGCAGCATCCTGGGGGTCACGTGATCAACATGTTTGACATTCTCAGCCAGCTTCTGACAGGCAAAGTCAATGGGAGAATCCATATTCACTTAACAACTGTGACAAAAATGGTTGCAAAATCAGGCATGACTCATTTAACTGCATCATTTAGGGACGGAGGTGGGCAGTCTGCTACAACACGACAATTCCAGTGTACCTACAAAATCAAAAGTGATCTGAGGAGAAAACTGCATTAGAACACACTGCCATATAAATCCAAAGGAGTGTGTTAAGTCCTCTCCACAGAAAAAAATCTTTTATAAGAAACAAGAGATCAGAGCAATCGAAGGCAATTCCAAGAGACACATGATGGCAATATTCACAGGAATTATCTTGGTTCAAAGTTTTGAAACAAGGGGCGCTACATAAATCTCATGATGAGGAGAAAAGGTATTGGCAATTAATACACAATTTAATACTCAGACTGCAGAAATAAATACAACTGCAGAAGACAACATCAAATACACAGACTATTCCCAATTCCCACAGAGTATTACCAATACCGTTTTATTTCACAAAGCCAATAATCCATCCAAAGCCAAGAAAGAAGGAAGCCTTAATAAAATGTTTGATGATTTGGACAAGCACGGTCTATATTCCTCTAGTCTGATGCAATGATTTTATGTTTCATATTTCCACAGGTTACAAAAACATGGCAGTATTGTACAAGTAATCCTCGACTTACAACAGTTTATTTAGTGACCATTCAAAGTCAATGGCACTGAAAAAAGTGACTTAGGACCATTTTTCACACTTATGACCGTGGGGAGCATCCCCATGGTCACATGATCAAAATTCAGATGCTTAGCAACTAGTTTGCATTTATGATGGTTACAGTGTCCTGGGGACACATGATCCACTTTTGCGACCTTCTGACAAGCAAAGCCAATGGGGAATCCAGATTCGCTTAACAATTGTGTTACTAACTTAACATATGCAATGATTCACTTAACAATGGTGGCAAGAAAAGTTGAAAAATGGGGCAAACTCACTTAACAAATGTTTCACTTAACAACATAAATTTTGGGCTCAATTGTGGTCGTAACTCGAAGACTACCTGTTATGTCTTCACCAGGGCTGAAATGTGTGTCCTTCTGAAGGTTGCCAGATGTAAGCTAGATCTGGAAACAGACTCCACAAGGAATATTGCAAATCTGTTCTATTGATATAGATTATAGTAACATAATCTTGAAAGTGCTTTCACTTTCCTCCACATTATACAAAGAGTATCAGGATGGAGGCACTGTAATGTGTTCTTTCTTTCCTGGACTTATTTTTTGCTAAATCCTGCATTCCTTTTCCGGGGTCATTTTTGCGGTTCTCTACACAGGGCAGTATTTTGTGGGGGGGAGGGGGAAGGAAGAGGATGGTTGATTTAAGGCAAAATAGGCATATGAAGAATGGGGTCATGTGAAAGAGCGAACTCACCACCTTGAATGAGCAAGCATTACTCTCCCTCCTGGGATCCTAAGCTATGGCGATGCCTGGGAAAGAAGGTTAAGGACAGCCCCACTTTCTTTTTCATTGAAGAGCATAGCCCATAAAATGGACCAGAAATCAAGTATGTGTATGGGTTGGTGAAAAAGAAGTCAAGCCAAAAGACAGGAGAGAAGTGAGCAAAGAGCGTCCAACACAAAAGCAAGGAGCAAGGAGGGGAGGAGAGAATGGCCAGGGTCTGCAAAAGAAGCCACCCAAACAAACAACAACCCAGGCATAGACCACAAACCAGCCTAGGGAGATGCCCTGTGAATGGGGGTGGAGGGAGAAAAAAAAAAGGCCCATTTATTAGACTATAAAGCAGGGGTGTCCAACCTTGGCAACTTTAAGACTTGTGGA